CCACCAGCCTTGGCACCTAAACATGCTGTGCCTGGGCCACCAGCCTTGGCACCTAAACACCCTGTACCTGAACTGAAGCCCAGAACTGAAAAACCTTCACTCCCCCAACTACAGTAAGTCTGAGCCCCTCTGAACTGAAGGCTTAGCCCTTCACTGGAAATTGTCACCTTTCAGTCAAAACTGGAGAGGTGTAGTCTTTTCAGTCACATGGTCTTATGTTTTTGATACAAAATGTTTTTCTGACCATCATTAATTTTATTATCATACTACAGTTGGGGGGGGGGAGACTCCATGATTAACCTAAATTTTATGATTCCTTAGCGTCTATGGATATAATTGGGTCTTTCTGAAAGAATTAGCATTACCATTATTTAATTTCTAATCTGAAAAATTTGAAAGATGCTAATATTTGGTATCTGGAGGCCAATTAGAAACACTTTCTAGAGTGTACTTCTTAGGTCTTGGATATTTTTAGTTATTAGAAATAATATTATTAATTAATTTAACTAATTTTTAATTAATGGAACAGATACCGGAAATTATTGTGATCCATAATCATAATGCCTTTTGCTTGTATGTGGACATTGTGGTATGATAGACTGAGAGCCACTTCTGACATGAGTGTGTGGCCCTTGCCAAATCACTTAAGCCCTCAATACCCCAGACAACTCTGAGGCTCTGAATTGCAGACATGGTGCTGATCCAGTCTGCAATGGCAGCAGAGGCTTCCATACTGGGCATTCTCCACATTAATGAAATCACAAGTCTGCGCTGAAAAATCTAGACTAAACACTGATCATTAGTATAATATCTTAATTTAATGAATTCAGCCTTCCAAAAACAATTGCTTTTATCTACCATAAAGAGAGCTTTAGGACTCTCCTGCTTTAGTTAATAGTCATCTAGAAGCATAATAACTCCCCACCGCAGTCATAGTTTAGTTGTTTCCTCACATGGAAGCCTCTCCCACCACCAAGAAGTTGGTTGGTGCTCTCATAGCCGTACTGAACTTAGGATAATGAAGACGTGTGTTTGCGTAGGGCTTTCTGGCTTACAGATTTCCCAGCAGAGCACCAGTTCTGACAGGTTCCACCTAGCTGAAAAGACATCAGTTATGGATCCAGGAGCATACCTGTATTCCAGGGACCAGCCTAGCTAAGTTCAGAGAGGCTCACTATGGCTACCAGGGGATAAGTTTATCGCCAGAGCAATTCACCAAAACTCTCCCCTGATGTTGTAGAAGGTTGTGATCCGCCTGAGTGGACGCATTCTAGCAAAAATCACAAATCTTTGAAGTACAGAGTAGGTTTATGGTTTACAAAGCTCTGTCCCCCATAATAATTCTGTGAAGAACATCCAAGCATCCTCATTTTACAGATGAGAAAACTGAGGTTCAGGAAATTAAAGTGACTTGCCTAAGATTACATAGCTAGTAAGTAGACAGTCAGTGGAACCCAAGACCACAGAATCGCTAAGAATAAGAGCAGTAAGGGACTTTAAAGACCTTCTGTTTTTCCAGCCCTCATTTGTACCAATGAGAAAACTGAGGCCCACAGTGGTTAGTGTTTGAATTGGGATTCCCAAGGAGACTCACACAGAATTTCAAAATTAGAAGAAAACTCAAAGATGATCTAGTGCAAGCCAAGTGCTTCTGACTCCAAGTGTTCTTTCCACCCCATAATACTGTCTTTTCCTGCACCTGTTTTATCCTCAGTAGTTTGGCCTCTGGCTGAAGTTTGCTTTGTTTTCCCAATCAAAGTACCTCACCAACCCTGTCTATTAAGGCATAGAGGGATTGCTACTTAAGTTGGTAGAGGGAGCATATATGCCTAGTAGAGAGAAGCACAGAAGGAGAGAATGGAATCCACAACCCCTACAGCCAAAGCCCATTGTACTTCCTGAAACAGCACCATAATGACTGATTGCAGTCAAAATAGTGTACCTTGAATTCAAGTTTTCAACAGCAAATCCTTTTATTCCCTAATAATAGTAAGCTGTATATAGTACTTTAAGGTTCACAAAACCCTTTCCAAATATTACCTCATTTTATTCTCACAACAATCCTGGAAGGTACAAGAGCTATTATTATCTCCATTTTATAGATAAGGAAACTGAAGCAGACCGGTTAAAGTGACTTAACCAGGGTCACACAGCTAGTAAGCGTCTGAGGCCAGATTTGAACTTGGGTCTTCGTGACTCCCATGTTGGGTGTTCTCTCCACTGCACCACCTACCTGCCTCCAAACCATTTACATTAGATTGGTTTCCAGCACATATTTATAGGAAGAAAATGGTTTCTTTGCAAGCAGCACTGTTTGGAAAGGGACACTTAGCTTGGTGTGTTGACTCTAAGTGGTCAATAGCACAGGTGCCAGGGACATAATGTGCCATCCCAGAACTCAGTGAAGACTCTTGTTCTGGGAGGTAGCATGGAGGAGAGGAAAGAACACTGAGACCTGGGTTCTAGTCCCCAGGCTGCTGGGACGTTACTGTGTGATCTTGAACAGGTTTCCAAATGAGTGGAGAGTTGAACTAGTTCATCTCTAAAGGCCCTTCTAGCTCTGGCATCCTACAGGTGGACTTGTTCGGGAGAATTAGCTATGGTAACCAGCGGTGTTCACAGTTTACTTATTCTTTTCAGGAGATCCCCACCAGATGGGCAGAGTTTCAGAAGCTTTTCCTTTGAGAAACCTTCACTCTCAACTAAGTTAGATACCAGCTGCGAGGATTCAGATGAAGACTATGAAAAGGTACAGTTTATTTATGAAAGGAAGAGAACAGCACTCCTAGCAGGGAAGCTGAGCTGGAGATGGTACCTGGGCTGGGTAGAATGAGATCGAAGGATAATAAGTAGTACAGTTTGGCAAGTTCCATAGATTAATGTGATAGGGAGTTACATGAGATAAAGCTGGAAAGGTAAAGTAGTCCCAGATCAGGAAGAGTCTTGAATGCCAGCCTAAAGAATTTAAACTTTATTCTGTAGACAGTTGGGAGATATTGAAGGTTATCAAGCAGAACAATAATGCAATAAGAGCTGTGTGTTAGGAGATTACTCTGCTTTGCCTGCCTTTCCCAAAGGGAAATTTTACTGCCTCTGTTCATAGAGTGGATAGAGCAGCATAGAAATGAGATAGATAATGAGATTTCTAAATAAATGGTGTGTGTGTGTATGTGTGTGTGTGTGTGTGTGTGTGTGTGTGTGTGTGTGTTCACTCAACAAACATTTAGGCAGGTACTGAGCCAAGCTCTGAAGGACATACAGAGATGAATCAGACACATTTCCTACCCTAATGGAATTTACAGACTAGTACAGAAAATAAGACCAAGACACAATAATACAAAATAGAACATCATTATCTGAAAGAGATATGAAATTCGAAAAAGAGAGAGATCCGGTTTGGAGAATCTGGGAATGGTTCATTAAGAAGTCGGTTCCTTTAGCAGTTAGTCATAAGGTGGTACTGAAGTGGATTGATGGTATGTGGGGGGGGGGGGGGGGCAGCCAGAGGAAAGCATTTACTACTAAATGGACAAGTCCCAGGTGTTTGAGCATGGGTTCCCGAATTCTATCATCAGCATGCATTCATTCAAGAAAACGTTTGCCAGATCGTTATTAAGCTTCCATTGTGCAAGGCATTGGGTGAAATACAAAATTAAAAAAGTCATCATGGAGATTTCTCATGAAGCTTTCAGTCTTGTAGGGGTATGAGATATAAACACAAATACCAGTAATGCAGAATCTCATGTGATAAATGCATCAGACAAATACAGAACATGAGGACCAAGGGGGAGGTTGTTGTCAACAATATGAATATGTTTAAATGTGTCACATACTAAGGTGTATGCATTGCTTTCCTCTTTCTTCCAGGTGCCGCTGCCTACCTCCATCTTTGTCAACACCACCGAATCCTACGAAGTGGAAAAGTATGCTGAATTCCAATTATTCTATTTAAAATGCTTGTCTGTTGGGCAGAAATAGGAAGAATAGGTGGAGGTTATAAGGAAGCCAACTTGGAGTCAATATGAAAGAATTTCCAAACAATTAGAGTGTCTGAAAGTGGACAGCACTGCCTTATTGGGTTAGTTCCCCATCACTGGGGAGAGAGTGGGGGGTCTTCAAGCAGAAGCTGAGTAACCACTTGTTGGATATGGTTGGATCACAGATTTAGAGAGGAAAGACACTTGAGGCCATTTAGCCTGATCTTATTTTACAGTTGAGGGGATGGAGACTCAGAAAGGTGAATGGAACTTGTTCAAGATCATTCAGGTGTGGTAGAACTACAATTTGAACCCAGATTGCTGACTTCAAATCCCACACTCTTTCCATTGTGTTTGGATGCCTGGGATAGCAGGGATTCATGAATGTTCAAATATAATTTGCACTAAGTGGCCCCTAAGGTCCCTTCCAACTCTGGGGTGTTATCATCGTTCTTTTTGGAAAGAAAAACAGATGACAGTTCCATAAACTGCTATTTCCACAGGAAACCCTGGTGGGAAGCAATTTTTATAATTGAGATTAGGAAATGGGGTGATGCCATTATCATGGAAACCAACTGAACTTTTTAAATAACATTTGAGATTGTGTAACACAGTCCTGTTAAGTTCCAGACATGTCTAGTTAAAAAAAAAAAAACCAACAACAAAAAAGAGGAAAAGGTATTAAATACCAACTGTGGTACTATTTGAAAATGTTATTGTAGCATTCAGTAGGGTGGGCCTCCAGCCTATCTCCTCAGCTTTAGCAGTTCAGTGCAAGGAGGCTACATTTGGAACTGTTTGATGAAGTCCTTACAGTTACTGTCTTCTGTTTTAGCTTGTTTAAAGCCACTGATCCTAGGGGACAGCCACAAGATGGACTCTACTGTATTAGAAATTCCTCAAAGACGGGAAAGGTAACATGCCACAGACAAGTGTCAATTCAATACATTCATTCATTCAACAAGCTCTGTGTTCAGAGTCCTGTGTGTAGACGTTGGGGGAGATACAAAGGCAAATAAGTGCCTTCCTCAGGATAGTCTAATAATTTTAATGACCAACATTTACTGATCACTTTAAGGCTTATAAAGTGCTTTACTCACCATAACCCTGTGAAGGCAGGTAGTGTGGGTTGTCCCTATTTTACAGATTGGGAAACTGAGATTCTTAGAAGTTAATCTAATAGAAAAGATAATATTAATACTATTACTGGTATCAATAATATTCATAATAAGGCAATGACTTTTTCCCCTTACCTGCTAGGAGCAAAAATAGTTTTCTGTAAAGTTATTTCCAGTGACCCAGCCATTCAGGCTTTAGGGAGGGTAAAAAAAAAAAGTGAGGAACAAAGTTGGCAGGGTATGTTGGGGCAGGGAGCAGAGATCTCAGTCTTTGCCTCTTCTCTCTGCCAGCCTTAAAGGCTAGAACACAGAATCTCAGAGCTGAAGAGTGACTATATGGATTTTCTCATCCAAACCCTTCCCTTGACAAATAAAAAGACTGAGGCCTGGACACCTGAGTTCTAATTATGCCTGTTGCCATTTGCTACTCAGGTGGCAGGGGCACTTAATTTCCTAGAACCTTGGTGCCCTTTTTGAAATTGGAGATAATACTGGCACTAACTAACTCAAGGGACGTTTTAAGGAAGGCACTTTGCAAGTTCTCTACAAACAGGAATTGTTAGTAGTTCTAGCCAAGGTTACACAGAGTAAGGAAGATAGCAGAGACAGGTCTAGAACCTCGGTCTAGTGCTCCTTACTCTAATGATTCCACCCACTGATGACAGCAGAGCACCCGCTTTCTCTATTTCTCCTGCCCTTATTTTTTCTGGCCTATTCCGTCTGCAAACCCCCAACCCCAGTGCACAAATTGGTCTCTGCAGGACTTAGATGAACTGACTTTTTGATGATCCTTTTTCTTTTTCCCTTTCAAATTCAGGTTTTAGTTGTGTGGGATGAAGCCTTTAACAAAGTGAGAAACTACCGGATCTTTGAAAAGGTGAGAGATGTTGTTCACAAGCCTTGAGATTTCAAGGCCTTTTGTTTCCCATGACCAAGCTTTAAACAAGAGCTGTGGTCAGGTTGTGCTGGGGATTGGAGACAATCTTACAGCAGAAATTACTTGTGTTTTGGGTTTTCTCCTTACTGGGCTGTGTCACACCTGTGGTGTCTCATCTCATACTCACTATGTTCACGTAGATCCAGTAGGTGCTCTTGGAATTCCTCCCCATTTTAAAGCTTAAGGAAGCAGAGGCAGAAGGGAGCGCTGGTCTACCCTAAATCACCTGGCTGTCAGGCCAGAATAGAAACCCTGGTGTCTGGGCTCCCGCTAGAACTAAGGAAGGAGGTCCTTGGGATTGGTGCTAGAGAGCTGACTCTCTCTAAAAGGTGTCTACCTTTTAGAATTGGAAGAGAGAAAGTATGTTGAACTTTCTGCTTCTGTTAATATATTCTTCTCTTTTCTTCTTCTTTCCCCTCTTCGTCCTTCTTTTCTTCTTTCTTCTTCTCCCATCCTCCTTTCTTTTCTTTTGGCTCCATAGAGATTCCAGGCTAGGAAACCTCATACCCCCCATTCCTATTCCATTTCCTTTCTTCTTCTCCCCCTTTGTGACATTACTTTCCTTCTTTCCTCTTCCTAACCTCTCTTTTCATCCTTTCCTCTCCTTTGTTCTGTTCCAACCATGTCTATGCCTCAAACCTGTCAGTGACAGGCAATGGTTCACCCATAGGTAAAGCTTTTTTTTTTCCCGAGGCAGTTGGGATTAAGTGATTTGCCTAGGGTCACACAGCTAGTAAGTGTCAAATGTCTGGTCTGAGAGTGCATTTGAACTCAGGTCCTCCTGAATCCAGGGCTGGTGTTTTATCCACTGCGCCACCTAGCTGCCCCTAGGTAAAGCTTTTTTTAAAAAGAGCTTTCTAACCAGCCCTAAACTAATGCTTCTCCCAAGGCCTTTGGGTGGATAGGAGGGATAATCTTGTGAATGGTTATCTGGGCCAAGAAATAAAGGGGAAGGGAATGTTTTTAGTTCTCAGAGATAAGCATTGTCTTTGTTTTTACCCTAGGACTCCAGATTTTACCTTGAAGGAGAGCTTTTGTTTGTGAGCATCGGAAGCCTGGTTGAGCACTATTACACCCATGTCCTGCCTGGGCACAAGAGCCTCCTTCTTCAGCATCCCTATGGCTACTCAGGGCCCAGGTGACACCTGCCTGACCTAGTGATTTGGTGCAATAATTGAACCTGGAGACAGAAAGAAGAAAGAAAGACTTGGATGGTTGGTCTTGACTTCCATGGGCAGCTGCCCACCCAACCTGGGTCCTTGATTTCATCTCTCCTGCATGTTATTCTGAACCTGTGTTACAACTCTGTTGTGTGTTCCTCCCAGAGACAGGTGGATTTGGTTCACTGTCCACCTTTCTTCCATTGACTCTTCCCACCTCCCCACCCCCAAGAGTGAATGCATTCATCATAAATAAGCACATCCTCAACCCCATTTACCAAGGAATTCTTAAAGGACTTCTTCCCTGGTGGCCACACTGGAGAGACAATATTGAAAAAGGTCACTATGGAAATGGGCAGAGGTACTTTTATGGATCAGGGCACAGGATACTGTGTCTCAAAGAGTTGCTGAGTCAGCTTGAGAAGTCTTAGCAATATAGTTACAGAGCTAATGACTTAAGGCAGCCAGGGAGTGTGGTGAACAGAGCATGGGGCCTGGAGTTCAAATCCAGCCTCAGACACTCACTAGCTGTGTGACCTTGGGCAAGTCACTTAATCAGTTTGCCTCAGTTTCCTCATCTGTAAAATGGGGATAATAATAGCACCTACCTCCCAGGGTTGTTGTGAGGATCAAATGTCATAATAATTGTAAAGCACTTAACACAGTGCCTGGCACATAATAGGCACTGTATAAATGCTAGCTATTGTTATTAATTAATTGTTTTAAATTGTATCAAACAAGCAAAATTGTATTAAATTCACTTGTGTTTCAAGCAGGAGACATTTCAAAGTGACCCTCACAGAGACTCCACTCCTCCTTTTCCTTGCTGGCCATGAATACATTCACAAGCAACAAAATGAACTGAGAATATTGATGAAAACAAGCCTTCCCCTTCCCATCTGCCAATCATCAGGAGCAGCAAGAGGAGAGAGACCCCAGCTGGAGAGGGGGTAGATCCTTACTAGGGATGAGCTTAGGAATGGACTGTTTGAAAGGGAGACTGTTACGAGGCTTTCTGTCCTGGGCAAGGATTCCATTTGGCACTTAGGATTTCTCTCTGGGCCCGCGTGCAAATGTTCTCCTGCTCCTTGACCTCTCAGTTGCCACCCTGCAAAGAGTCATCGGGAAGCTCATCTTCATTGCACAAAGTCCCACACTGAGCCCACCTTCCATCCTAGACTCTTGGGCACGTGTTCATCGGCACCAAGCCAACCAAAAGATTTGTTCTTGTGCAACACATGAGACATTGACCCTTTTGTTCCAGTCGTGGGTTGATTGAAAACAAATGGGAACTTGTTGCCAACAAAGGGAGGAAACTCTAAGCCCAAGACATTAGAAGTTTGCATTGCAGCAGACTTTTCTTTGTCCTCTGGGGTCAATTCATTTGGCATGGAATGTTTATGTCCTTTGATACTCCCCCTGTGCTAACGCTAAACCCTAATTAAAGAGGGACTCTGATGGTAACTAATAAAATAGAACTAGAAACATTCCAGATTACACAGTATTGACCAGTCCTATCAAGAATGGGCTCTGAGTCCAAATTGTGAAATCTACTTTGTTCCATATTGCATGGGGATAGGAGCTTGCATTTTTCTCTTGCTTCCTGGGATTCATACACTTCCTGTCAGTGCTCCCATGATGTTCAGTCACAGAATTTCAGCATTAGAATCTCAGAAGTCATCACCCCATTTAGTCCAGTCCTAAAGCATGACCCCCTTCTGTATTTCCACTGGAACTCCAATACTGATGAGGAACTCGTTGCCTTACCTAATATCCCATTCTGTTACTAGGTAGTTCTAATTGTTAGGAATTGTTTCCTTCTGTCAAGATAGACTATGACTGTACCAGGTGGTATTGCCAGGAGGCAGATTTCTGCTTAATCTCCAGAAGAACTTCATAATCACCTTTCCTAAAGCTCCCAGTTACTAGTGCCTTCTTCCTCCTCCCAAATCATCTTGTATCTATTTTACCTGTTCTTATATATGTATGTATTTCTCCCTCAGATAGAATGTAAGTTTCTTGAGGGCAGAGATTATTTCATTTTTGTCTTCGTAGCCCCCAGTGTCTGCCACACAATGGGTACTTGTTAATTGATTCTGGTTTAGTATAAGGAAGAACTTTGCAACAAAGCTGGCCAACGAGGAATTAGACTAATTTATAAGGCAGTGAGTTCCCCATTGTTGGAAGTATTTAATTGTGATGTTGAAGAATAAGATTCATGACTTAGGTCTGAGTTGGAATAAATGATCTGTAGGGTCCTTCCCAACTTGGAAATTCTGTAATTCAATATCTCTACGTGCAGTGTGTTGCCTTTGCAAGGGCTACAGGTGTCCCTAGCATAATTTTATTTTTTTTGTTTCTTTTTTTTAGGCAATTGGGGTCACACAGCTAGTAAGTGTCAAGTGTTTGGTCTGAGGCCGGATTTGAACTCAGGTCCTCCTGACTTCAGGGCCAGTGCTATAGCCACTGAGCCACCTAGCTGCCCCCCTAGCATAATTTTAAAAAGCAAAATGTAAAAGTTCTTTTCTCCTGACTTCACTACAATTCCTCTAAGCCCTGTTTCCAAAGCCCACTAATAAGGTCGTGATTTCCATCTCATTTTTCCAAGCAAAAAGACTCTACTTCATTGAACTCTACTTCATTTCCTCCTCCCCCATCAAATCTCCCAGCTGACAATTCAGCCTCTCCTACCAGCCAAAGGAAGGCCTCAGAAGCAGCAAGAGCCAATTAATGAGTCATTTGGGAGGGATCAGTTCCAGAGCAATGTGGAAAACGCCTGTGTTCCCAGGAGTGATGTGCCCTCTGGAACAGACAGCAGTAGGGGGTGGGGGAGGCTGGGGAGTGAGGTGAGGGTCTAGAGTGAAGATACCTCACTGCAGCTGACTCTCATTCCTAAGAGAAACAGTGGAGGAGACAGCCGACAAGTCTTGGGCTTGCTTCCCTATGCTTTTTTGTTTCCATAGTGGATGACATTCAGCAGGTCACAGCCCATCTTCCGATTAATGCTGCAAATCAGTACCCACACGATTCCCCTGCAATTCTACTAAGCCATTGTTTTGTCCTGATCCTTCAGGTGTAGTGATAGTGACTGCTCCACAGGGGGAGGAGACAATGATGTAGGACAAAGAGTTTGAGGCCAGGAATCAGGAGACCAGGAGTTTGAGTCCTGACCGGTGATGCTAATTACCTGTGTGATGTCAGCCCTTTGCCAGGGCCTTGGTTTCCTTCTGTGTGAAAGGAGAGGTTTGGACTGAGTGCTCTAAGGTTCCTGCTTGTGATCATTTATGTCCTAAGGTCCCTTCTAGCTGTGATGCTATTCTGCATTTTAAGTCACTTTCAGCCCTTACATTGTAAGTTTTGAGATCTCTCTCCCCACCTTCCACGCTCTAAAACTTTATGGCTTATAGTCTAACATTCCATGTTCAAAAAGCTCACCCGATGCTAACATTCTGTGATTCTAGCTTTTGAATCAGGTGTTCAGTATTGACCTTTGCCACAGCCATCCCCTCCTCCCCCAAACAATTGAACCCAATGAATACAAGAAAACTTGATTTCTTCATCCAGTAATGAAAAATATTTTCCTTTTTGTTTATATGTTATGTGACAATTACAAATACATGCATGTTATTTTTACATGTGTGTATATGAAACTAGTTATTCAGCAAGATACAAAGTTTTAAAAATAGCACCATATGTCATTTCTCAAGAAGTTTGCATTTCATTGTGGGGAGAAGAGCATTCTACAATTGGGGCAAAGACAAGACCTAGCAATGCGGTCTATGAGCATTTGAGCAGGGAGAGTTGACTTTCAGCTAGAGGCATCAGGAGAGGAGACAGCATCTGAGCTGCCCCTTGAAAGCCCATGATTCTGAAAGGCATTGCTATGGAGGAAGGGAGGACATGCCGGGCATGGGGGACAGCTTGCATGAATGTTTGCATGGAGGGTGGAAGATAGCATGTTGAGTTCAGGGAACAGCCAGTGATCCAGTTTGAAGTGTAGAATGCATCAAGAGGAACTATGTGAAGTAAGACTGGAAAAGTATTTTATATTCCCATGTATTTGTGGGTGCATATATACACACATATGTAGGCACCTGTTCAGATACACACCCACCACAAATATACTACAATACCTAAAGAAGCTTTTTTTCCCTCCCGGCCAATAGACATAGCCCCTTCCTCTGGCCCCAAACCCAAAACCTTGCTAGCTTGGGAGGCCTTACACATTCCACCAGCAATGTCCTTGAGAAGCCAAGTCACCTCAAAACCACAAAGAGATAAATCATTAGGGCTTTTAGTAAAGGACATACAACAATGCATTTTTGTTATGATGGTTAAAAGTATGCCTGGCATTTATTTCATTTTGTTCTTGTGACAATCCTGGGAGGTAGCTACTATTATCCCCACTTTATAGATGAGGAAACTGAGGCAGGCAGAAGTTACCACTAGCCCAGAATCATATAATTGTCTTTGACTTGAACTCAGATCTTCCTGACTCCAAGTCTATACCACCATTACTTTGGAGGTGGTTGGAATCCTCCTGGTGCCGATAAGAGCTGAATGCTAAGTGACCTGCACTGAAGGATTCTCACAGGAAATCTGTCTTCAGTGTCCTCTACAAGCAGACATTTATCCATCAGCTTCCTTTCTACTTATTAGAAGCAACACATCTTTTTCTCCCTCTTTACAGCTTAGAAGTGGCAACTTTTTTTTTCCATACCTACATGATTCATGAAACCTCACATTTAATATAATTGAATGATCTTCTGTTAATTGAAAGAACCCAGAGCTGTTTGGCTGTTCCTCTTAGCAGAACTCTGCCTGCCATGCTTGACATTTTATCTGGCTTAATGGTGAGCTACTAGAGAGTTTTATGAGCAGCTGGGTGGCTTGGGGAATACAGTACCAGGCCTGAAGTCAAGAAGACATCTTAGTTCAGATCTGGCCTCGGATATGAACTAGCTTTGTGACCCTAGCCATGTCACTTAACCCATTTGCCTCAGTTTCCTCATCTGTAAAATGAATTGGAGAAGGAAATGGCAAACCACTCCAGTGTTTTTGCCAAGAAAACCCCAAATGAGGTCATGGAGAGTCAGACACAAATGAAACAACTAAACAACAACTGCTAGTGAGTTTTAGGTGATAGAGAATTCCATTGATAAATAATCAGGATCATGGAAGGGAGGGATGGTAATAACTTGGTAACAGTGGTGGGGGAGGGGGACCCAGACCTGTGATTTCCTTGGAGTAGGGAACTCCTTTCAAGGAAACTCCATTTGCAGAACCTGTTCTACCACGTATTGTCTTAATTTCTTGAGGGCCTGGGGAGGTTAAATGGTTTGTCCAAGAGTCAAACCCAGTATGTCAGAGGCAGGAACTGAACCCAGCTCTTCCTAACTTGAAGGCCAGTTCTCCATCCACTATCCATTGACTGGATCACAGCATGATAGAACTCAAGCTGGAAGACTGGACAATCTATTCTAAGCCTTCATTTTCTAGATGAGGAAGCGGGGGCCCAGAGATGGGAAGTAACTGCCCAAGGCCTTTGGATTCAGGGC